GGCAAAGGGCAAGGGCAAAGCAAGGTTGTTACTATTCACATGAATAGAGGCAGCCATTGCAAAAGGTTGTGGTGTTTCCACCCATTGTCATGACAACTACTATTCACATGAGATATTATGAGAGGAATTTGTATAGAGTTTTGGTGTAGGAAGTGAAGAATATGACTAAATATTTATAATATAAAAAAATATGAAATTTTTAGGTTTTTTTATATAGATTTTTTTTTTTTTTGTTGATTGCATCATTGCTGATGTCAGCAAACCCAGACTAGAGGTTAGGTTGGTTTGGCATGTGGGCTGGCCCAGTCTCGTGGAACCCATGGCTTGCCAAGGCAAGCTTGGCCCACTGGAAGCTGTTGCATGGGCTTAGGTCCTGTCTTGCCAGGGCTGGGGTTTATTGCTGGAAATGCTCTAACAGATAGACATGGCCGATTTTGAGAGTTTGAGGGCCTGTGAGAAAATTAAATAAGAGCCCTCACATAATCTAATATGAAAATATTTGATATATGTGTATAAAAAAGTTGATACATATCTTTCGGGAAAGACTGATCCATATCTAATATATTCCACAGTGTTTGTTGCTCCTAAAATTGACAAGGTCATCCGAACCCAAGCCATTGATAGAAACTGGGATATGTGTGTTTGCTTTAAATGATCAACTTATTGCATCATGGTCTCATTTTATAGATGTTGGCATGCATTTATGATAATAATACAGATTCTGTATTGGTTAAAATATTCTTCACGCACACACACTCGTATATATAATCTACGGGCGTAGTGGTGGTCTCTTGTTAGAGGATGATCTTTTAAAACTTCTTTTGTTGTTAAATATTTTTTGAGGAATTCCATTGTCATGATCTTAACAATATTATGTGAATAAGCATGAATGCCACATCCCTTATATAGATGATCTGGAGCTGTATCAAGTCAATTTACAGTAATAAAAAAGAGGCCTAGCTAGAAGCCTCAGATTTTGGATTAGCTCTTGTTTTAGACAATTATTATAATTTCTTATACAAATTGGGTATTATTTATAGGAACAAAAAGTGAAGGGTTTTAGGTACGGCAAATTGAATTTGAAAGGTGTAAGCCAAATTTACTATATAAAAGAATACAAACAAAAATGCAGTTCCTTGACAACAAAAGCTGTAAAGAATGACTTTAACATTAAAAGAAATACATATAAAACGAATAAGAAATTATACATCCACTAGAATAATACAATTATATACAATAATTTAAAATAACACAACTATATACTTAAATAGTATTGAAATTACAATATGGCTACATTTAAAGTAAACGTATTAAAACGAACTAAGCTCTCTAGTACAATGTAAGAAGTTCTCACTTTAGAAATAATTTGTCACTTAGAAGCTTTACTTTTCCCATAACATCTCTAAGCGAAGCCCATTAAAAGTCCAAGTCTTGCTTTGGTTGGAGCCTCCCTAGTCATACCAATTTTTCAAAACATTAACATATATGGATCAATGAGTTATCAAAACCTACAACAATTAATAACTATAGCAAGTAATCAGATCATCTCCTACAATGAAATTGGTTGGATGAGAATCGCATATATGCTTCTTCTTGTATCTTTCAAAAGTGCCTAAAGGTGCATGCTTGTGCTATCTTCAAACTTTTATAAATTTGATGGACAACTCTTGCGAAATGGAAAAAAATTCCTACTCGGGCGAAAATACAATTATGAGTACTTGTCATTTCTCTGAACTCTGAGCACATGAAATCATTTTCTAAGTTGTTGTAACTTGTATAACGTATAAGGGAATGCATCGGCCGGAGAAATTTGGTCATGCCCGGTTCAAATAGCTGTCAGTCCCTTTATCTTTAAGGTTGGTGTATTGGTTTGTCCTCGTTGCTTGATTTAGTATTGCAAAACTTTGTTTCAAAAGTCATGAATGTATTGGTGTATGTGGCCTATTTGTTATCCACAACAATGAAAAGAAGTCCTAAAAAGAATATGTGGTTCTGTGTTTTATGGTGTTTTCATTAAGTATTCTTCTTTAATGCCCGAATGATTTAATGCAATACAAATTTGGGAGAAAATTATTTCCGTATTATTTAAGTTGGGCTATATGCTGTGGCGAGACCCTTCAAGCAATCATGTTCTTTGTGCCGAAAATGGGAATGGATCAAGCCCATCTGAGCCTAAAGGCTTAAACTTTGCCTTCAAGTCAAGAGAATATAAATAACTAAGCCCACTACTAAGTGACCAAGCCCTGCTTTACATCCCTTTTTTTAATTTATTATTACTTTTATTTTTATAGAAAAGATATTTGGGAAATGAGAAATCGAAACCTCGAGTGCATGAGTGAGTACATGCTCTCAACCGCTTGAGTTATAAGCTCTTTGTAAGCTTTAGCAAATGACATAAATTAAAAGTTTGAATTGTGTCGGTAAAATCACTCTTTATTAATCTACTCTAAACAGCCTTTAATCATAGTGACATTCTTTGTCATTTGTCGTGTTATCTACTTATCCTGTAGAGTTTCTATCAATTTGATCACTGATTACTGTAAGAGATAAAGACGAGTCAATTAGGTCAAGGAACCTCTCTGTGACTTAATTAACTTTGTTAGGTATTTTAGGTCATCTTCCACTTACACGTCTTTCAATAGTACTAAGAAAGAGGTTCAGTGGCCTTTTCTTAAAGGCTTGAAAAGCCGCCTGATGGTGGCGCTAATTAAAGTGATAAAGTCAATGGCATTGATTAATATAGGCACAAAGCTATTAACTAAAAAGATAATTAGATGTTTTGTTACGCAATGTTTTCTGGATTATAGGTGCATGCGCACCTGTTGCCAATCACCATCATTCAACACTAAACAAACGACGGCTCGTTTGGAAGCGATTTTGAATAGGCCAATTATCACTTCCACATAGAATCACTTTAATTTTAACTAACATTGAATATTTTAAAATAATTTTGCCTACTTAGCCAACATATCTCATGTCAATAAGTATGTCATGTGGTTAATCTAAAAAACCTTAGAAAAACCTTCTACTTTCCAAGACTTAGGAGACAACGTCAATAAATATGTCATGTGGTTAACCTAAAAAAACCTTAGAAAAACCTTGTACTTTCCAAGACTTATCAGCAGACAGTGTCAATGTGTACCACAAACTAATAAAAGGAAACGCCGCCATGGGCCATCTTGAAAAGTATTCAGAGGAGGATAAGCAAGCGGATGCATTTTATATTCAGGCTAGCTAGCTAGCTAGAGAAAGCTAGCTTCATCATGATATCTATAAATAAAATCCAAATGGAGATAACATAACACAAATTAGCCAGCTGAAAGCCGAAAGCTGAATATTATTGCCTTGCTGCTTTTCGTTTCTCAATGGCCATGGCCACCTCTAAAACAAGCAATACGTCCATTCCCTTCACCATTACTATAATGCTTCTTTTGGGGCTCCTGGTGGCAAACCTTGGTATAACAGGTCTGAACGTATACCTCATTCAATTTGCAATATATTTCCTTTGGCATATTAGAGAAAAAAATTACTAATTAATGTTGATTAATGGATGCATAAATATCCTATAACTTTAAATTTTCTTGATGTATAATATGTGTACATAAGTAATGTATTGATGTACGTATACGCACATAACAAATTTTCCGGACGTATATTTATATATGCAGGTGTACAATCCGTAGGTGTATGTTATGGAATGCTGGGCAACAATCTACCATCCCACGCAGAAGTTATATCTCTTTACAAATCAAACAACATCAAACAAATGAGAATTTACGATCCAAACCAAGCCGCTCTACAAGCTCTTCGAGGCTCCAACATCGAGCTCATGCTTGGTGTCCCAAACCAAGACCTTGAACGACTCGCAACCAACCCTTCCGAAGCGCAAACATGGGTACAAACAAATGTCTTGAATTTCCGGCAAAGCGTGAGATTCAAATACATTGCGGTTGGAAACGAAGTGAGCCCAGTTTATGGAGACACTACTAGGCTGGCTCAGTTTGTCCACCCCGCAATGAAGAACATATACAATGCAATCAGATCAGCTGGCCTTCAAGACCAAATCAAGGTCTCAACTGCCATAGAGACGGGATTGATAGGCAACTCCTACCCTCCGTCACAAGGCGCTTTTCGCGGTGATGTGAGAGCTTATTTGGACCCAATTATAGGGTTCTTGGTTTATGCCAAATCACCACTACTTGCTAACATCTATACATATTTTAGTTATATTGGAAATCCTAGAGATATTTCTCTTCCTTATGCTTTGTTCACTTCACCGTCAGTTGTGGCATGGGATGGTGATAAAGGGTACCAAAACCTGTTTGCTGCCATGCTGGACGCTTTGTACTCGGCTGTTGAGAGAGCTGGAGGAGGCTCTTTGGAGGTTGTAGTGTCGGAAAGTGGGTGGCCTTCGGCAGGTGCGTCTGGGGCATCAACGAATAATGCGAGGACTTATTACTCGAATTTGATTCGGCATGTGAAAGAGGGTACCCCAAAGAGACCTAAAAGATCCATAGAGACTTACTTGTTTGGCATGTTTGATGAGAATAACAAACTAGGTGAAGAGACAGAGAGACACTTCGGGGTGTTCTTCCCAACTAAAGAGCCAAAGTATAACCTCAATTTCGGTACTTCGGCTGGGTATAATACTACAAATACCCTTAAAACTGACATGTAATTACCCCAAGTGCTGTTCTTAAAAATTAAAATAAGAGAAGTGAGCAGCAAACTCTTTTTATTATTATTATTTATCGCATGTGTAAGTGAGTTCTATTTCTTCTATCTATGTAAAACATGTGGTCAGCAATAACGAAAGAAAATTCATATCAATACTAGCAGCCCCTACAAGATCATCAATATCCACAAACACCCAACCCAACTTACAAGATTATCAAAATTACAGAGAGACCCAAATCCAAATTAACTAATTAATTAATTCTACAAATAAATTAATCTTCGTCTTCATATAATCAACAGCTTTTCTTTCAGCCTTGATTGATTCATGTATAGGTGTTGCCAAAGTCGAAAATTCCGATCTTACCGCCTTTGCATCCGGTAATGGTATTCCCACGAACGTCGAAAGTATCACAGTCTGATCTCCCACCAGTCCCCTTTCTTTTCCCTTTCTTTTTTCTGTCACCCTTGGGCTCCGAGGGGCTTGTGGCTGGTTGATCTTGAAGCCCAGCACTTGAGGAGGAACTATCATGTGGTGGCTTTAAGCCCTCATCACTCTCATCTGGTTGATCATGATCATGTGCTGCAGGATTAGTACATGGGGCTGCTTTTGTAGGAGCAGCAGGAGCTGGAGGGTTGGGATTGTATTTGGAAGATGGCTCTGGAGTGTCGTTGCTGTTGTTGCGCCAGCACAACGCCTTCCACATATGGCTAAATATCATTGTGTTTGTTGGAAGCCGAAGAGCGCATGCCTGGTCCACTTTAAACACATCATCATGCATGGAGATGGTTACAGTGGAGGAATCCGAATATATCAAGTGTCAGCTTTATTGCCAAGCTATATTATATATTCCCAATCCAAATGCATGTAGAGTGTAAATTACAAGAGTAAAACATTTATTTAAAATAATATTAAAAAATAGTAATAATCAATGATAATTAGTCACTAGGAGTCCGCGTTGACTCAACAACTTTCGAGTTGGAACGATCCGAGTCTGATGACTCAGCAACGATCGAGTGAGGCAATTGACTGGTCAATTACAAAAGTAGCTTCAATTCAAATTACTTCTTTGAACTTATTCTGTGGATTTGCTCGTTTTTGTTTTCGGAATAGATGCTTTATTAAAAAATAATAAGCACCATAAGAGTGTATAAAAGATAACATGGTAAGAATTATATACCACTTAATTGAAAATTATATAACATGGTAAGAATTGAATTCTCAAAGATATGTACTGAATGAATTAGTTATTCGAAAATCTAATTAAATTAAATCCCTAACCGTCCATCCATGGAGGATCAAAATTACATGTAACAGTAATTTGTTTGTTTTTAATTCGATACAAGCGATATTAGGACAAGGAAAAATCGAATCTATGACCTTGGGTGACCACTTAAGCTATAAGCTCTTTACTCTTTTGGCTATCTCATTTCCTCAACCATTATTGATGCTCTTTTCCTCCATGTACTTTCTCTTGATCTCTAACAAGAAAAGATACAAAAGTGAAATATTTAAGGGCGCCAAAAGAAGGAGCCCAAATGGTACCTAACAAACGTTATCCAAAAGCATAGTTTCTCTAAGAGCATCTCCAAGGGAGATGTCAAATACCAAACGTCAAATTTAAATTTGATGGCTGATGTGGCAATTTGACATCTTACACAGCTTTACACTCTACCCGATATGCCAAATTAATTATTATTTTATTACATTTTAGTGTTGATTCATTTTTAATTAAAAAGAATAGAAAAGAAAAAATAATAAAATATTCATTTGACATCTTGCTTTTGGGATGTCAAAAATAACATATCAACCTCCAGCCTTCATTCCACATCAGCTTTGACACATCGGTTGGAGTGATGTGAGATGTTATTTATAGCTGTTAAATGTCTATGTGGCATGTTTGACACATCGATTGGAGATGCTCTTAGAAAACAAAATTCTCAAAAAACTTTAAAACATAAACATGTGAATAGAATAATAGACTCCGTTAATGCTCTAGCGAAAGATTCTTGGTGTCTTTATGAGCACGATCGTCCAATTTTTAGTTGCAATAAATTAAGGAATAAAAGAAATATGTGGAGTTCATATAGGCATCACATAAAATATGTGGAACGAAATTGAGCACTTTTTTGTCTTATTGAGAACCTAATTGAAACGCGGGTGTAAATTTAAAGACCATTTAAGTCAAAAACTCATATTTATTAATATTATTAGATATTATAAGGACTGAAATAGCACGATACATTATTAAAAAAAGAAAAAAGAAAAGAAAAAAAAGAGAGGTCTACCAGCGCCAGATATTGAATGATAAATACTCGTTGCCGAAGTCACAAAATTCGACAATTTTCTTGGCTTGTCTGAATTTTGTTATCCTCAAAGTTGAAAATAGAATTAATGTTGGAGCCACCATCCTGTTTGTCAGCACCGTTGCAGCCCTCGGTCTTCTTGTTGCCAAAGTTGAATACTCCGACGGTGTCGCCTTTGTTGTCGCATACATCATTTCCGTGAAAAGTTGAAAGCTTTGGGTCCCTTTCCTTTGGGACTATTAATGTTAGGAGCAGGCTCTCAATAATTTCTTCTGGTTACAGAAGTCTCGTCTGGATTAGTTTTAGGAAAGCAGAAACAAGTTGTCATTATGTCTCATTCGTTTGGAGGTTAATCGGAGGCTCAAAATGAAGTACAAAGGTTGATAATTTGCCTTGTCCGCTAGCTTTATCTTAAAATGTGATGAGAATAATATATAAGCATGCATGTCACATCCCTTTTATATTGATGATGAAAGAGGAGGAATCTCTTGAAGTAACCCTTAGCTTGATTGCCAAGCTACTATCTATGCTGCCTCAAAAGAACCTGAAAATTGGCGATGCAAGTTTTCTCTAGAGGATGCTATATTGATTGAAAATGAAAGGCTAAAGTATTCGCCCTATTATTTCGAACAGCGTCACACCTCAACTTTTATCAACTATTTTTTTTTAACCAACCAACATTGCATTATTACATTGGATTCCACAACATACATGATCGTATCTTCCACGTTATACATGGTTGTATCTTCCACATGCATGATGATGATGATTGAATTTTTTTCAACGATCCAAATCCTGTATTTTTCAAGTCTTTATTCATAGATCATCTTTGTAAAAAAAAAGAAAAAGAAAAAGAAAAAGGTAAATTGAAAATCATGAAGGCATCTAGTTGGGACCAATAAAATCAACAAACACGATTTGCTTCCAAAAAGACTAAAATAACAACAAGCTATTTGAGTGGTCAAATAATTTTGAATTCAAGTGATTTTTTACAAAAATGATATTTGGGATAATATCTAAAAATTAGACTGTTCGGATCATTGAAATACAATACATGGTGAACCCTACAAGCAGGGGCGAAGACAGCATAGGACCAGAGTGGTCCCCTGCCCCTCCTCAATTTTATTTTATTATAAAAATAGTACTATGCTGCTATGCATATTATCATGTTTTGTGATGTTTAAATTATATTATAGGCCCAAACCAAGTTCCTGGTATTTGCCTACCAAGTCGAAACGTCACGTTTTCATTCTAAGCTCCCCTCACTGTTGTAAAACAATTCCCAAAACTAGGGCTATGCGGTTGGACCGCAAATACCGGTGGTTTTCGACCGATATTTCCGGTTGGCAAACCGTTGATTTTTCCGGTCAATGACCAGTTGCGGTTGGACGACCGAGCCAAAATGCTGCGGATGCGAATGCGGTTGCAGGAAACCAAAGCCGTCGGCAACCGCAACTAACCGATATATATATATATATATATATTTTTTTTTAATACACATGCAGAAGAAACTTAAAAATTAATTGGGAAGTGGGAGGAGGAGGCGTGCACGTGAAAGAAAGAGAGGTGAGGTGATGTGTTGGTCGACAACATATGACACCAACATCAATGTTATTTTTCAATTTTTAATTTTGCATTAAATAATAATATTTATTTTTAATCTATTTTTTCTCACTTTTACTTTTCTTCCTTTCTCCCCACATATTTTTGGTAATTGAAAACTCATCTTCTCCTTCCTTTCGAACCCTCTCTCTTAAACCCAGCAACCATCTTTGTAATTCCAGTACCACAGTGACTCTCTTCTCTCTAGCAAAATCTCCATAAACTAGATCTGGTACGGCAACTCAAACCCTCCTAGCGTGCAATTGTCCCAGATTTCATCACCTCCCTCTTGTCTGTTGCAGGTTTGGTAACCGACCGATACCGCTGCCACCCACGGTAACCGGCACCTTCGATAATCGTCTTTGTGCGGTGCGGCGTTGGTTTGGATTTTGGCTAAACTGAGTGGCGGATCTGTGCAGGCGCAAGGAGGTGCACCTGCACCTCCGCCTGCCGGTAGTCGGCCAGTAAACGGTTTCTTTGTTTCAGTGCGGTTACCGCACCGAAAACACCCCTACCCAAAACACAAGCCGACTTGTTTCAATGATTAACTCCCCTTATGATTTTTTTTTGTTGTTAATTTTTTTTTCTTCTTCTATTTTATTGAGTTTAATGAGTCTTTCAATTTATGTGCAGATTACGAAAGGGAAAAAGCTTTAAAGATGTTTCTAAATTGCTATTCAACTCCAAGTATGCATTTTGTAATCCCTGACAATTTTTCTTGCTTATAATGATTTCTTTGTGACAAGGCTATTATGCGACAATTTCAAAATATGACAAGTTTAGGGATTAGGGTGATGTTTTGGTCCTTTTTGTTAGTTTGGTATGTATTATGAGATCAATTTTTTTAAATTATTTATATTTTATGAGAGGCCTCCCACACATGAAATTCTGGTTCCATCAAGAGTGTCTTTCAAATAAGTTTAATTGAAATCCCTTAACTGAAGCTCTCTTTTATATATATGCAAAGGATTCATGCGGAGTATCATATGGTAATCAAGCTTGACTTTGTTTAATATATTTATCGAGCTAAGCTTGTTTTGTTTGTTTCTTTTAGGAGTGGAGCTCAAACAAGCTAAAAATCAGTCGAGCTAAGCATAGTTTAATGATAAATAGTGATTAGAAATTATAAACTCATATATAGTCCTATCATACGTTGGTTTGCATTCTGTTATCATATGCATGTAGTCCTCAAAAAAAGGTAATTATACTATTTTGAGAATGTGTTTGGTAAAAAGCTGTTGAAGTGAATGAGCTTTCTTCTTTTCTTTTCGTCTTTAAATTCACTATATAAAAGAATAATGCCCCACCTACTAGAGCACTTCCACCCATTTGTTATGGCAAAAGGTAAAATGAGGTAAATAATGTTACTATTCAAGCCTCATATAAAATTAATTAATTTTTTTAATTTTTAATTTTAATTTTTTACTTTTTCATTTACTAATGACAGGAACAATTTATGTTAAACTACCATGCATATAAGAAATAAAATAGTATTATACATCCAAAAAAGAAAAGAAAAAAAAAGAAAAAAAAGAAAAAGAGGCCTGCAAGCGTGGGATATTGAAGGATCAATACTCGTTGCCGAAGTCACAAAATCCGACAATTTTCTTGGCCTGGTTCCTCTGAATTTTAATATCTTCAAAGTTGAAAACAAGATTGGAGCCGCCATCCTGCTTGTCAGTGGAGCCCGCGGTCTTCTTGTTGCCGAAATTAAATACTCCGACAGTTTCACCTTTGTTGTCGCAGATTTCGTTCCCTCGAAAGTTGAAAGCTTTGGATCCTTTTCCTTTGGAATTATTAGAATTAGTGTTAGAAGAAGGCTCTCGATCATTTCTTTTGCTTACGGAAGTCTCTTCTGGATTAGTTTTGGGAAGGCAGAAACAAGTTGTCATTATGTACTCTCAGTTTGGAGGGTAACCGGAGGCTCAAAATGAAGTACAGAGGCTGATAATTTGCCTTGTTCTCTAGCTTTATCTTAAAAGATGATGAGAATATATAAAGCAAGCATGTCACATCCCTTTTATATTGATGATGAAAGAGGAGGAATCTCTTGAGGTAACCCTTAGCTTGCTTGCCAAGCTACTATGTATGCTGCCTTTGGAAGAACCTGAAAATTGGCGAGCACGTTCTCTCTCAAAAAAGCTATATTGATTGAAAAGGAATGTCTATTCTATGGAAAAAAATTCCACTAACTTTATTCAAAGTATAAAGTATTCACGCTTTTATTTCGAACAAGGTCACACCTCAACTTTTCTCAACTATTTTTTTTAACCAACAAACATTGCATTATTACATTGGATTCTACAACATGCATGATTGCATCATCATGATGAATGCCTTGCACCATGCATATACATAAATATATATATATATATATATATATAAATTCCCATTCTATTGAAGGATTCCTATAATAAATTTATTTGAGAGGCACCTGAAATTGGTATTTAGGTGAAGAAGGTAAATTAAAACCCTCATGGATAGATCTAAGATAATAATGATTAGATGTTCATAGTAACAATATGACTAGTCAACTACTAGTCATAGACCTATGAAGAAGCAATCTAGAACCTAGATTCACAACATATCAATTATTAACACCTGCAATCTTAGAAGAAAGCTAAGTGACACCCCAGGTACTTAGAAGGATCCATCAATCTATGCATCCTTAGCGCTAACAACAACTAGAGTGGAGAGTGTGTGAACATTCATCATAATTATACACATATATTGAACAAGTATGACTAGTCATATTATCCAGAATCAACACCAAAAATGTTCACCCAGAAACCCAACATTGGGAAAAACTGGGGGTCATCATCCGACCAAGCAATCCACTAAGTCAGTAAGGTTTTTACAGAAAAAGAAATCACAAGCCCAAGCATTCCTAGTTCTATTTAGGAAATGAGCACTACCTCCCTGTGCAAATTTCATCTCTAACTTAGTTGAGCTAGAAGCTAATCCTTCATATAAATGACAGCTAGTCCATAAGCCCATTCACTCCAGGGCACTGACAAATAAGCTATAGATCGAACATACATAATGAAAAATATATTATGAGATGAAAAGGTCAATTCCTTCAAGAAACCATACTCTTGATGAAATCAACCAAGAATCTGATCTAGAGTTAAGAAAATGAATAGTCAATACGAACCTAGATGCATATTTTAAAAGAACAACATATTTTATAAACCATTTAAAAATCTCAGAATGAAAGAGAATGTAGAGTAAAATTTTTACTCTAAAAAAATCTCAATTGGTGAAGTGGATTTCAAAAATAAAAGCATATTTGAAAACCTATTTGAAAACCTCATTTGAAGACTTGAACCTCACCCAACAACAAATGCATAGAAGAAGAAGAAGAATACCTCTCTTTCTCTCTCTCTCTCTCTCTCGCAAAATGCAGATCTTACTAAAAGAGAGAAAGATGTAGAGCCAAAAAAATCAACCTCTGAAAAAAAACCACTCTCCCTTGCTAAGGAAAGCAACGACTTCAATGTTGTAGCCTCATTTTCTACCAAAAAGAAGTATACCTTAAATTCCCCGAGCTACAGTTGAGCTACAGTTGGTAGTAAGAACAAATTCGCATGAGAATAGATGACCAGTCATACCTCCTAATATTTAAGTGAATGTAATTTATAATTTTTTTACATTCAAGGATCTTGATTCCATTTGAGCCATGACATTGTTGACTTCAATTTCTATAATCATTTTGAGTGCGGACTTAACCTAACCTAAATTACTTGAGCTTGATTGATTACATAAGAGATTATAAGTTTGTCAAGGAAAGCTAAGAGTGATAGGACAATTCCACTTTGGAATCAGTGTCAAACCCCGTGCGTGTCCAACACATGGCAGGTGTCAAGCACGAATGACCAAAATAACCTTCTTGCCCTAATCCAAAAACTTCTTTAGGGTTTGACTTCTACCCGAAAACCAGCAGAGTTGTTTGTCTGTTGCGGATCTCACGGTCTGGTGCTCTGGGCCGAGGGGATGTGCGTCAACACGTGACGTCCTTCTTTTAGATGCGGTGCGGTTGTGTACGGGCGTGCCAGCACGGTCTACCGTGCGTCGAGATGATGATGAGGTTTGAGTAGAAGATGGTTTAAATGTTGCACCTGTTTTGCGTTCGACTCCTAATCAAACGATCGTGGCCGAGAGAGGAACTGATCTCGGCTGTCAGATTCACGGCCTGAGCTACAAGGCCGTTTAGTGGTGGTGTTGGTGGCGGGTTTTAGGCGGTGCTCAGGCGAGTTGCTCAGAGAGCGACGGTCGTATGATATATGGGGTGAGTGAGGCGATAACAGAGATGGTGCTCCGGGGCCTTGAAAATCAAAGGTCGTATGATATATTGATGAATGGATTTTCCTTACAATCTACCACTACTCCTAAGAAAACAAATAAAGGTATTGAAAGTGCATTACAGGAAAATATAATTTGCTCCGTGGGAGGCTTTTGGTTTGGTGTTTGAACCCTTTGAATGTAATCCTGAGCTTAGTATTTATAGGAGTCCTGGAGGGACATTCGAGGCTGACAAGACCTGTGTGGTGGAGCCTGACCGAGGCAAGTGGGTAGTCAAATCGGCATTTGGGATCGTGAAACATGACGGTTTGGGGTTGAGAAGCATGGTGGTGTGACCCCCATAAATCTCGGCCACCGCCCTGATCGTGGGTTCTGCCCCTTTGGCCGTGGGAACGCATTTAATGCCCTGGTCTGGTGGTTGATGATTTGACCTTAAGTCGTAAGATTACTTGTGAGAATGTCTGCGCTTAACTACCCTGATTTCCATCACCAAATCCTGACTTCAGTCACTTCCCTTGTGCATTAAATGCTTCTTGTGACTAGTGAGTTTGCTGCGAAGTCAGAGGCATTAATTCATTAAATGGAGTGTGGGGCCTTGAGGCCACGTGGCGATTCAACCATAGCTTTTTTAAGCCGTGTCTTTTACGGCCTTCGGCCTCGGCCTTCAATACTGCGGTCGCGAGGCCGAGAGGATTCTGCCTTTGCAGCTTTTCTTTTGTTCTTAGGAAGGCGAAATGCTTGACGAAACGGTAGGTGCCAGGGCCGAAGGGAAGTCCCTTCAATCAGTTCATGACCGTGATTTATTAGGCACAAACAAGAGTCTCCCATGAAAAAGGCTCAAAACCCAAAAATCTACCTGCACAGCAAACCCAATTATTCCCAAGCGTTCAATAAATTCAACTTTATAAAACGGAACATATCAAACAAATCATAAACTTGCGGCTACACCTATGTTAGCCTAGGTTACCTACGCACCCTTACTGAGGGATCAAGCCACACGTAGTTATTTCTACCAAAGATCACAATTAAGATAAGTTAATATTGTTCAAGGTAAAACCAACAATTAAATTCTAGAATCATTCTTTACTTTGTTTTCAACCAGCTATATAATTGAATGTCATTCCATGTAATTATGTACCTAATTGCTCAATTAGTTTATCAAGTACATCCAACCACTTACATAACCCAACCTTTTACAATAAAGCCATACCTGCAATCATCCACATAGTGCATATATCATGTAATCACCCACCAAGGGGTATATGAGAATACCATCAAATCCAAAGGCAACAAGGGAATGGGAAACTAGCTAACCACATGTGCAACCAAGTCGGGCATGTGGCTAGGGTGGCAAAGAATATCCTGTTAACAGTACCACAGGGTGGTACTATACTATTCTCCACATAAATGTATCTCAAACATAATCCATCAATTCCAATAATGTAGCGTCAATTCCCCTCGCACCACACATGTAGCCACATGTGTGATACATTCTCGCAGAACTCTAGGGACACGAGGTTGACTGGAGACGTAATCCTCGCAAACCTCTGGGGACACAGGGTCAGCCTGAGACGCATTCCTTGCAGAACTCAGGGAGATATCCTTCACTTGAGAATGCAAATAATCCGTTAATTCCCCTCGCATAACTAAGAGAGATATACTCCGCCTGAGAATGCAAATCCTCGCATAACTCATGGAGATATACTCCGCTTGAGAATGCAAATCCTAGCACCACACGGTTTTGGCGTCCCCAAAACACGTGGGTGCATTGTCATACGTGCATAGACAAATTTGAAGGCAACCATATGTCCGAAGGCAACTGTATGTCTGAATACATCAATATTTCCGAAGGCATCTAGGATGTCTAAGGACATCAATATTTCCGAAGGCATCTGTATTTCCTAAGGCAACCAGGATGTCCGAAGACATCAATTTTTCAAAGGCAACTGGGATGTCCGAAGACATCAATATTTTCGAAGGCAACAATATTTCCAATTTCAAATGATTTAACACATATATTAAAAATAAACATCAACGTATCACCAAACATTTAAAATCAACTCAACCCAAATCCGCACAATAAAACATAAATGTATCATACTGGGAAAGTAAAAGTGATAGAACAATAAGTCACAAATATTTAATAAAACTCTCAAAGAAAAAAAAATTACGGTTTTGAAATCAAACCACCAAATCGCAAACACCTCCCAACCAAATTGTCCTGATCGGGCCGAGGAGGCCCACCATCTAGGTCAATTAGGCCTGCGGGGCCACCACCTACGATTTCCGATCCAAAAGTTCATATAGGTCCAACGAAGTCTACTAAACAAGTTCTGAAAGTTTGATCTCGATCGAGGGGTCGGATCTAAGCCAATCGCACGATCGGACGACAATCGTTTCGCATAAACTTAGAATCATTAATTCAGAGTATCTGGGACTCAAATTCTCGATCAACAAGTTCCTATACGATCATAGAGGTACAGAGAACAACATATTTGAAATTGGAACCGATCGAATAGTCCGAACCTATCGAAACTGAATATCGCATAATAGGTGCAATATTCGTTCTACTGTCAAACGATAACCAAATCCAAATCCGAGCATACCGTCGTGCTCAAAACGACAGGGGGAACAATTTAGAACTCAATAGGTCGCCACTCGCCACTGGTAGCCCTTGGCTGTCTTGAGAAATTTCTGGCAACAAGCATTTCTCGAAACACCCTACAATACCTATATCAATATGTTCAGACTATATAAGGGGATCAACTTAGGTGGCGTGGCCAACTAGTGCACAACGGCGTCGATTGATGGACGGGAAGTCGAACAGTCACTGTTGCTACAGTAACTATTGCAAGAGAATAGAGGAAGAAGAAATGCCCTTTTTTTTGGGGGGAAAGAAGGAAAAAATACAGGTACTGTAGCATTAACAAATTTAAAAATTTCCATTACGTCCTTTTCTTTTCTAGACCTTTCTTCCTTCGTTAGAACTCGGAATTGGGTATGCCGCATGTCAACGAACTCATATCGTCGAGCTCTACGCAACGGTGTCACTCAATTCCCCAAAATCCTTCCCAAATAAAAAGTGAATGTGCCCATACCCCAAGAGCAAAATTGTAAATTCACAAATGGAAATAAATTGAATAAAACGATAAATTGGGTCAGGGTGTTACAAAGAGCATTAGCTAAATAAAACCTAACAACACCCTTTAGAGTCCCCAACATATTTTTTTCAACGATCCAAACCGTCTCTTTTTCAAGTCTTCATTCATAGATCATCCTTACAAAAAATCAAACAAATTGAAAATCATTAAGGCATCTAGTTGGGACCAATATAATCGATGAACATCAATTTTTAAACAAAAAAAAAAAAAAAAAAAAAAAAAAAAATAGTACAAACTAACAATCTAATTGAGTGGTCCAATGGTTTTGGATTCAAGTGATTTTTTGCAGAGATGATATTCGTAGGAATATGTAAAAACTAGACGGTTTGGATCATTGAAATACAATACGTGGGTGAGCCCTACAAGAATGTTTCTCAAATAAACTTATTTAAGATCCCTCAACCGAACCTCTCTTTTGTGTATATATATATCTGAGCGGAGTATCATATGGTAATCAAGCTTGACTTTATTTGTTTAATATTTATCGACTTAAGCTTGGTTTGTTTGTTTCTTTTACGAGTCAAACTCAAACAAGCTAAAAAGAATTCGAGCTCGAGCTGTGTTAAGTCAATTTACAACCAATCTTCAAGCTAAGCATAGTTTAATGATAAATAGTGATTAGAAATTATAAATATGAAAAACAATAATTAAGAATTATTAGCAACAAAAGACAATGATATTTAACATTTAAACATATAGCTTCAAACATATATGAATAGTACAGTACAGAGCCGATATAAACTTCAACGGGCAATGGGCAAGGATGTCCTATCATACGTTGGCTTCCATTTTGTTATATCATATGTAATCCTCAAATGATGCACTAACATACTACTCATATATTTGTTTGGATCCAGAAATATGGTAATTATTCTATTTCGAGAGTGTGTTTTGTAAAAAGCTATTGAAGTGATTGAGCTTTCTTCTTTTCTTTTCGACTTCAGATTATGATGCTATCAGGTTATAACAAAATACCAAAGGAAACTATTAATTTAACCTTTCAGAACTTTTGTCTAATTTATATTTTATATTAGCATTACACATAAAAAAAAGAGGCCTAGCCACAAGCCTCAGATATTGAATCAGGTCTTATTTTAGACAATGATCTGGTTTCTTGTTCCATTACATGCATGCATGCATGCTTAGAGCTTGTTCCTATTCAGTACTCGTTGCCAAAGTCGTTAAATCCCTCTTGTTCCCGTTCAGTCTATTGTTCGCAAAGCCGAATTCAGAATCGCCACCGTAGGGGCCGCCGCCACGCCTGTTGCCAAAGTTATTAAATCCAAAAGCTGGGCCCTCGTTGTTGCTAACCTCATTCCCTTTAAAATTGAAATTTCTGCGGTTGGGATTTCCAGAACCAGGATTTCCACCATATCCACCACCCCCATAGCCACCGTTTCCTCCGCCATAGCCCCCTCCATTTCCATAGCCGCCACCGTTTCCGTAGCCGCCACCGTTTCCGTAGCCGCCCCCATTTCCGTAGCCGCCCCCGTTTCCGTAGCCGCCTCCGTAGCCACCACCGCTGTTGCATTGTTGTTGTTGTGGTTTGGGAAGACATTTTTGCTTGGATTTGGATCTATCTTCAGGATGGTTATCTGTAAGCCAGTTGAGGACCCCTCGGGCCGTGCCATGGATGGCACCGTCCAGAGGGGCCAAAGGAAAAGTCACTACATCGGCAACCCTGTGGAGGGTGTCGAAGCCTTCCTCAACAGTGTCTCTCACCTGATTTTTCACTTGTTTACTCGTCATTGTCTTGCTGATTAGTTTTAAGTTGGAATTTGTGTGTTTGCTTGGATGACCGACTTATTGCCTCATGGTCTCCATTTATAGATGTTGGCAAGAGCATATCATATGCAATTTGCAAACGATAATAATACAGATTCTATATTTATAATAATATTCTTCATAAATAGCTACGGGCGTAGAGGTCTTTCTTGTTAGAGGATCTTTTTAACTTTTTTTTTTCTTTCCTTTTTGGTAAATATCTTTTTACCTTCTTTGACTTGCCTATATATATAGAGAGAGCTTCCATTGAGGGATCCCCCAAATAAGCTTATTTAAGGGACACTCTTTGTAAGCCCCACTTTGGATTGTATTTCACTAATCTAAACCGTCTATTTTGTAGATACTCATTCAAATATCATCTCTACAAAAAATTACTTGAATCCGATATCATTTGACCACTCATTTGAGTTATGAAATTTTACTACTTTCTTGAAGTACGGTGTTCATTGATTTTCTAAGACACAATTGGATGTCGAAACGGTTTCTGATTTGTCTAATTTTTTGTAAAGATGATCTATGAATGAAGACCTAAAAAATAGATATTTGGATCATTGGGAAAAAAATTGTAGAGTACTCTAAAAGGCGTCCCTCAAATAAAATTATCTGAGGGATCCCTCAATAAAATGGGAATATATATATATATATGAGCAATTAGCTAGGTTTGATGCTCAATTGCATACGTCAACTGTGTTACGTAAGCTCAAATAATTGTAAGATGATGAATTCAACAAAACTTATCCAGAATAAATTCACCAAGCTTAATGGAGTTGTTTCTTTTCAAAGTGTCTGTGTCTGTGGCTGTTTGTAAAGCCATAAACTCTTGATTCATAGCTTGAGTTGAGAGCATCCACAGTGGACTTCCTCCTTAGAAAATTTTTAGGGAGGAATTGGAAAAATACAACTCCAACGCTCCTAATCCACCTCCTAAAATAAGGAGACTTCTAGTAACTCTTAAATCTAAAGAGAGAGAGAGAGAGAGGACTCTTACCAAGGCAGACACGCCTTCTCCCCTGCCAAAGGAAGACACTTTTCCGAGGTGCCAAGCACCTGCCGAAACTCCCGACTGCTGAAGGTCCAAATTGCTAAATCTAATCTCCATGACACGTGTCACCGCCATGGCGACTTGCACAAAGTCCCACATCGGAAATCTACACAAACCTCCCACTTTTCCTATAAAAAGGGAACAATACCCTAGTAAAAAGGGTAACTACTTTCTTACCTTTTACTATTACTCTGCTAAAGTTACCCATCTTAGCTGACTTGAGCATCGGAGAGCCTTCGGCCGGCACCACACCGGTGTCCGAAGCTTAACGACTGCTTCTCTTATTTTGTCTTCCGCAGGCTAGCCTTTATTGAAGGTCCAGGCCCTTTCCCTGCTGAAAGCAAACCTCCTTTTCTCTAAGTTGACCCTCTTCGAAAAAGAGCATCAACAATATTTGTTGACATGCGCATATGGGAGCAGAGGATATTAATACAGATTTTAATAATGGGGAATGCTAACAACCTTATCTCTAACCTTCTCTTTTGGACCTTTTCTCTTCTACTCATGACACGTGTCATTTTTTAACACTTGAAACTATATCATTAATGCATCATACAAGTTGACTTTTGCTTTCCAAATTTACCCTTTTATAAAAAATTAAAAAATTGCACATCCTCCCTCTCTCTTGTTTCACGATCACACACTCTCTCTCTCCT